TCACACTCTCTTCTCTTTGTTTTTCCGTTTTCTTTCTTTTTTTATTGCGTCAGGCGCACACAACCATTTTCACGTATTTCTCGCATTTCTCTTCTCCTATCGCTCTGCATCTCCATCTCGCAATTCATTAACCTACATCTGAGGGCCATCACCTAAACGATCGTAAAATTAAAACAAAAACTAGGCGTACGATAAAGCGAGGAGAACGCCATCACCCGATCGCGTAGCAACGTACTACCGATAAATCTTACCAGGAGTCCATAATAGAGTCCCTATAGAGATTAATAGAGACTCTATAATGGACTCGTGGTTATACTTATTTGGAATAGCACTACAATCGCTGTCACGTTCACGTTATGTAATCTCCCCCCACCAAACAATGATTTCAGGCAATTAGTTAAAACTAGTTAGGATGAATCTTCGGTCTATAGCGTTGACATGACAACGCAGACTCCGTGCAACGTTCCAAGCCGCAATCGAAATACGATAATGGCGCACATGCTTGCCGGTGTACACAAAGGACGATGAAGAACGATTCAAATGTCGGCGATCGAAACACGCCGTATGTCTATAGGTACACTCACAGTACGCGCAGCTCCCGGCAGCCCGATAACGACGGCACGTGGCTGATCCGATTCGAATGCAAATCCCTGGAACAGTAACGAATGAAGTAAGCAGGTGGTCGAAAGCTAGGTCGCATTCAAATCACTGTAAATGCCTCTAAACGAAGGCAATTCGCTGACGCAGACTGCACCCTAGGGGAAAATAGCTGACCGAAATTACGACTAGACAAGATTTTCGCAATACCAAACATCGAATCCTGAGGAGTAACGTCTGCAGAGCCATTCACAGATTAGGAGATTTTTGTCTGCGATACAATAATCTCCTAGTATGGTAGGCGCTTCTCCGTGTGCTAGAGATTCCTGCCTTCAGTATCTGGCTTTGGTCCAGCGCGTCGGACTAGAAGATTTTCGTCTTTCGGCGATTTTTTGTCGTCGGCCAGAATAGGATATCTGAGTCCATGTTGCCATGTGCGCGCGTATTGTCCCCATGTGGGAAGGAACCCAAAGGTTTTCTTCGTTAAATGAACACGCGAGGAGCTGTGGGAGGGTCGCCATATAATACGGAATATCGCAGCACGATAGCGTCGCTACACGACAACCGTCTTCATACGTGCATACGAGATTCGCACGCAGACACTGCGAGCGCTCACGCAACCTGTTCTGCTTGCATCTATGACAAACACGACATACGCATATACGCTCTCCTATGACACTATTTATCATAGGAAGATACTTCCTTTGTCACAGAAAGGTCATATCGCCATACAAAATGATAAATACATGGATGGGCAAGAAATGCATGTGTGCAATGTGTAGGTTCAGGTGATGTGCAAATATATTCAACAGCAACATGAAATGTAATTGCAATTGCATTCTCATTGATCATATACATTGCCCACAGCCCAAACAGTAACATGTCCTTACTTTATATTTTATCATACCAATACCTGTATCTTAAACTTGTATATTTCTAATGAAATGATATGTTGTTATAACTGTTTTTATACATTTGATAGATATCGGTTAAAAAGCTTTCCAGCTCATGTTCACTGTTTTAAATGTACCGATGAAAATGAATGTAGATATCTACGTCTACATCTACTACATGCACTCTGTTGAATTCGCCATAATCGCCCCTCCGGGGGATGAGTGTAATACGTACAGACTGCGCAGGTATTGCATGTTGCCGCAGAATTGGTCCGGTATTCGGGTGAGAACGGCCTGCTCTATAGTGAGTTCGATGAGAGAGTTCGTGCCATTTAAGTCAGGAAACTCGTGCTGGTCGCGCAGCTCTGTAAGGGCACTGTATCAAGACAACGATTAGACTACAGCAGATGCTAAAACGCTCATCGTTTTCTTTGGCGGTGCGTGTGAAGAGAGTTAAATCTCAATTGATTACGTCATTGATTACGTTATTGATTACGTGATTAATTGCGTGATTAATTGCGTGATTAATTGCGTGATTAATTGCGTGATTAATTGCGTGATTAATTGCGTGATTAATTGCGTGATTAATTGCGTGATTGATTGCGTGATTGATTCCGTAATTGTTTAAGTGATTGGTAGCGTGATTTGTTGATTTGTTACATTGGTGTTCTAACACATGATTACCATATAATATATTGGGAGGCTTATTGGAATTATATCTACTAATATATTCTACGTATTTTCATTTGCCTAGATAGCATTATAATATATATATA